ACACTACAAAAAAAAAAAAAAGGGACTGAGTCTGGGGCCTGGGCCCCCAATGTTCAGTGCAGGCTGTGAGTGGCTCCGCCCCTGCGTCTTGTCTACTTTTGCATTCACGACCAGATAGGAGGTCAAAGTGTTTAGGTTGACTGTAGTTATTTACTTATTTCTGCTTGAAGGAGTGGTTTAAAAATGAGTTTGAGGAAAAATAAATTTTTAAAAAATGGGCTTAAACATGAGCATAGTACTCAATTTATTCCTCATCCAGATTGAAGACAAACCTTCTATTGCTCATTTGTTATTATTTGGATATTACATACTCATTTAATTCCCATTTCTTGCAGACAATGCATTGTCGGCTTCAGAAAGAAAAGGAAATTCAAGCTGGTGGTGTTTATTTGCTTATGATTGACAGGTTTATATGACTTTTAACAATACATACATATATAAACGCGCGCACACACGCACCCCTATTTTGGTAGCACATCTTCCAGTTACGACATGGATTATATACCACACTTTTTGATACTATATATTGTTCTTGATCGTGAGACAAAATGGAATCTATCAGCAATGTTTAAAAGGGAAAACTCGGGTATTGAAGCGTTTTATCATATGAGGCGAGGCATAAGCCTCGAGAGAAACCTATAAATTTATTCAAAAGAATGTAGAAGTACACAAACAACCTTATACTAAACCATATACATTAAAATCTATGAAAAAAATAAAATTGATAGTCTAACTTACGAAATAAATATAAATAAATTTATAAAGTTGAAAATATTATGTTATGAAATTAGTAATAACACAAAATTATGATCTACTACTAGAAGTAGAGATAATCTAGAAATCTCCTATATTATCAACACTGCTACAATCTTTAAGAGAATCGTCTATGTGATTCTTATTTCTTATCATCCTCCACTTGCAATGTTGCTTTATCCTCCCTCTTTTCCTTTTCTTTCTCCACACATGTGAAGAGATAAAAGGAACAAATTAAAAGCACCCCAAAAAATGTTCTAAAGTTATAAAGAAAATAGCTCAAAAACTTGAGGCTAGAAATAAAAGGTCCAAAAAAGACAACACAAGCAAGCACACACCTCAGCGACCCTGAGGCGTGGCCTTGAAGCTTGCGTTTTGAGGCCTCACTTGAGGCAGGTTTCAATGTGTAAGCCTCAAAAAGCATTTTTAAACAATGTCTATCAGAAATATGCGCACTAAAGAATATTTACAGTTTAGGCTTTTTAAGGTGATTTAGTTCTGAGACTGATCGTACAAGTTTTGAGCTTAAAAGATGTAGTTGATAAAATAAGAAATGTAACTATTTTAAAATCATTCATTCGAGAAATACATTTACATATGAACAGTTTTCGTGTATTTTTACCCAAATTAGTGCTTCTATGTAAAAGCCTAGATTTTGGGAACAAATATGGCCTTAATGTATTGAGCAAATATATGCTATTACATGTGAAATAATACTGCTTTTAGTAGTTTTATAAATTAATGATGATACTGATACTTATTTGTTGTAAGCTCCTTCACATACAAACTTGTTGCTAGCAGTATTGGAGCTTTTTACTGGATGGATCGTGCTTTGTTGTCATCATCAGGAAGCAACAACAGGTGATAATTAATGGTGTCTGCTTACTTATTTTTCATTGTGTTGAAAACGAAGATGATACCAGAACGTTCCAATACCAATTCGTTGAAGAGAATACTAGATTATAGGCACAATATAAAATAAATATCTCAAAGACGCATGAACAATGTAATTTACAGAGTAAATGAAATTTTATTTTAGTATGGAGAAATAATACAAAGATTTGTATTTACAACTTTGTCTAACTTAATCTAATTCATAATGAAGAGTCAACTATATATAGGTAATAAATAGGGAGCGTCCAAACCCCTAATAATAGAGTAGTATTGAAGTAGAATGCAATAAAACTCGTCAAAACGTGAAAACGGGCCTAGGCTGGAAACACTGTCGCTTGAGCGGGCGCCTAGTGGCGCCCCAGCGCTCGAGCCATAGGCTAGCGCTGGGCAGGCACCAGCTTCTTTGCTTTTGGCGCTTGAGCGCCAAGCCAGCCCGAGGCTAACAAAAATGCAACGAGAAAACTTCTGTTTTATAATTTCAACCTCTTCAAGTCCAACACAAATTTCATTTTCCAATATGGCTTCCAAATAGAACTTCAACTATAATTTGCCAAGTAAACTTGAATAGGATTCCACAATAGCATTCCAAATAGAATTCTCAATTATCTTCAACAAAGAATTCGAGTCACACCCAAATTCTAACACATTGCCCAGTCAAATTTCTAACTAATGACTTTGAAGACATTGTGATGTAATTAATAAGTATTGATTGCAGGAAGAGCCTTTCTCTTCAATATGTGGTAGAAACCATGGTTCAGGAGATCCAGAGGCTTCTGTTGGTGCACCCCATGCTTGTGTTAGCTTCCAAGTCAGCTTCCTTTGGAGATAAGCTGTCAACAACTGAAGTGATAAGGTCGGTGGCTTGGATGTCAGTTAATTTTTTTAACGTGGATGCAATTCTTTCAAAATATGAAGAAATATTTGATCAAGTGATAAACCAACAAAAACTGGTTGTTTTATGATAAGGCACATAAGGTCTATATCCACAAAATTTTCCTATATGATATGTTATGGCTAGAGAACTATCAGAAAGTGTTTACTTGTACTTCTGCCTCTCCTCTCAACTGCAGCCAACCAGAAATTTATTTTGAGCAAGGTGTAGTTTACTGTTGTATTATGCATACTGGAAACTTGAAAGTCAATCCATCAGATCGGTGGGACTCGCTGCCTCCAAATTTTATGATATTTAAGTGTTAGATGTGTACCCTTCACATATTCAAATTTAAGATTCTGAATCCTTAGTCACGATTTACACATGAAAGTATTTTTGGATCATGACTTTGTATAGTGATCATATACCTTGCGAATATCAGTAAATTTGAATAATAGAGGAAAAATGTTTATGCTTCATATTAAATTAAATTGTTGATGCATAAATAATAATCCTGACTTCGCCGTTCATAATATGATCTGTTTCTTCTGTCACATGCTTACCAACTGAATTTCTTTGGTTGGATTAAATGATAGGAGTTGCAGACGATGTAATCATCTGGTTGATATTGTTTCATCAAGTTGATTAGTCTTTGACGTCATTATCTGGTTGATATAGCTTCATTGAGTAAATTATTGGTTTTATATTTGAACTCCATGATGTTTTTCTCTGTTTTCCGTGATTTGTGTTGAAGGAGCAAGCACACCTTCTGTAAATGGTTCGATTTGTTAATTTTAACACTACATCTAGCATTTTGAGAATCCGAATTTGTTAGTTTGTGGATCTACACTTTAGCATCTCTTGCATACAGAAATCCAGGTAAACGGTCCTCAGTACTGGCCATGGATTTTAAAAGTGGTCCTCACCTATTGCATCGTGAATATATGCCTTCAGTCTGGCAGGTACAAATGATTACAGTTACTATATTGATTTTTTAACTGTAAAGCTTACTGCTACGAATGAGAACCTTGAGAATTGTTTTTTGTTGCCAGTCTTTTGTTACACACAGAATGCAAGTGCGGGCTTCAGGTTTGGATGCAAGGACTGTGCCAAGTATAGTTTCAGTGTTGGTTATTTTCTGTTCTTTTATTTATACGTATGCTGTTTCTTTGTTCAACAGACTATAATAGCAAGTATCAGAATAATGCCACCTACTTGACAGAATGGCTGTTACCATCTCTCAAGTTTTCAGACAAATTTATCATTAATGATGTGCGGTAATCTTGTCCAAGTACTTTATCAACATAAGAGATTAATGTTCTTTTGATAAATTGGTTTTAACTGGAACAGGATAATGGCGTCCTTTTATCTTTGAATTGCAGGATGGTCTTTTGGTCATCTTGTGAAGTGCGTGCATGATTTTGTATTGTGGACGAGAGTAACCTGGAAAATGGATTGTCCGGACAGGATTGTGGATTTTGACTAGGCTTTTTTGAAGAGATTAAGCATCAATGCATAGCCAATCTTTGAAAAATCCCAATTGAATTCGGGGGATTGTTGCTTGCAGCATTTTTTTCAGGTGAATAGATTCCTTTTTGGCTGGAGCTGTGAGACGGGGATTGGCGTGGAAATTGAATTACCAAAGGTTGTTCTCCTAATGAATTTTTGTAACTGGCTGTAGTCTATGCATGCCAATTCCCTTGTGTATATTAACATCCTATGTAATTTCTGATGATGTTTTCACTTCTATGCAAATATGTTCTACACTTTCATATCTGCAATCAATCATTTTAGGAATGAAAATTGTTACAGATAGACCACGAAGGGTGTAGTCAATTGAAAAGTGAAGTTATCTAGTTGAAAAATGTTGTTCGTTATTGGCCTTTGACTCTTGTAAAAATTGTAATTGAATTTTACAAGATTGACTTGTGAATTATAGTTAAAATTTGGAAGTACATCGTTTTACTTTAATCCTAAAAGTTGAAAGGTACTGGATTGGAAAAAGAAATATTAATCTAATTAAACAAAGCAATTATTTAATTGAAATCAAATTAAAGCATACTTATCGGATTGAAAAAATTGAAATACAGTCCTTTTTCGAATTAAGTTTGTTTGCCAAAAGGGGTTTGACACCCTTCTTGAAATACGCTCATGTGGGTGGGTGAGGGGGTGGGACCCTTGAGGAGTTCATGTGCAATAAAAAATTGGCAACCCTCCCAATGTGAGCACCCCTTTTAGCAACATAGATTGTTCTTTCCCACACTAGACCGAAGTACAGTTAACACTAACCAACTGGGCTTAGTTAAACACACGACTATATATATGTACATAAATCGTGTTTTACTTGCTTGTTTATCATTTTCTCCTCTCAGGAAGTCTGCCATTTCCGATTTCACTTTAAAAATCCAAATCCCTCAAATCTCTATTCCAATTATTACAATCAATTGCTACTCGAATAGTCAATAGTGTAAAACCAATTACAATGCCTCCATCGATCCGTTTATTTCCCGTATTGCCGTTCCTATTATTGTTATTATTAACAATTTCTCCAACGATCAGTGCATCGGAAAATCTGTTCAAGGTAGATGGCAAAGTGTTGGAGCTGGACGAATCAAATTTTGATGCCGCGATTTCATCCTTTGATTATATTTTCGTTGATTTCTACGCCCCTTGGTGTGGCCACTGCAAGCGTCTCGCTCCCGAGGTTAATTTTTTCAATTTTTTTAAAATTATTTTTTGGCACCCTCTAGAGATTATATGAATTTTGAGAGTGTTACGTTATACTGGTATGAGTGGTTGTGTATAGGAAACGAGAAAAAAGAAAAAAAAGATGGAGTCTTTATCTGAAGTCAGTATCACAAGTTAATATATACTGAATGGTAGTTTTAGTGAAATGGGAGAAAATATATTCCAATTGCTGATACATGTTCAAAGGAATCGGCAAGTTAGCGGTGATCCTTCCCTGTACCATGATATGGTTAGCATATCTCGTCAATGCTCCTAGCTGTTTTACTTTGAATAGGTTATGCCTAGATCAACCAAGGAATTCTCGCTATGCTGGTCCGATTGAGGTAAAGAAGAGAGGAATTATATTGGTTCAGGGAGATAGATGGGTAATAGCTTTTTGTGATATCCGTTGGTAGAAAGAAATATGGAGCTCTCTGAAGGTTTAGATATTCATGTTATAGATTAAGGATTGTGAGATTTATTTGGCCTTCTCTACTTGAATATTGGTTTTCACATTCTCTTCTGGGATACTTCTTCTTTAAAATGGCTAGTTATGCATTAAGATTTGTTGTATAGAACAAAAAGAAAGCTACTGAAAATGCTTTCAAGTTATGCTTTAAGAGTTTTTCAAGTAAGGTGGATATTGAAAATTCTTTAAGTTACTGGCAAGAAGAAAGTTGAACTTATAGAGCACACACAAGCATTTTCGTTAACTAGGACTTTGCCACCAGGATTAACAGGTTTTGAGGCTCACCCAATATCATTTTTTTTGCTTCTCTGAGATCCTTGAGCCTATCGAAATTTTGTTTCACCTTTGTCGTTCAAAGAAAAAAAACTATGTATATATATATATATATATATCTTATTGGATCAGCAAAATCGATATGCAAAAAGATTGACAAACTCAAATGTTTCATTGCAGTTGGATAAAGCTGCCCCGGTTCTGGCTGGATTAAAGAAGCCCATCATCGTGGCGAAAGTAAATGCTGACAAATATAAACGTCTTGCTTCTAAGCATGAAATTGAGTATGTTGCTGCAGCCTTTCAATTCAATTGGAATCTGATAGCAACATTCCCTTTTAGCTTGAATTTGGTGTTCATTGTTTTCCTTTAGCTGAGATCTTAAGTGAACAACTAGATTACTTCTCTGAAACCATGTTTCTGATCTTAGCATTAAGAGAAACATGGACCATACTGAAAAGTTTATCTGTTTAATGCAGTGGATATCCAACTCTGAAGATATTTGTGCATGGAGTTTCTACAGAGTATTATGGACCTCGACCAGCCGACTCACTTGTTCGGTTTCTGACAAAATATGTTGCTCCTGATGTTGCTATTCTAAATTCAGACTCGGCTATTAGTGAATTCGTAGAAGCAGCTGGTAGTCATTTTCCTATATTCATAGGTTTTGGCTTAAATGAGTCCATGATATCAAATTTGGCTGTTAAGTATAAGAAGAAAGCATGGTTTTCTGTCGCGAAAGATTTCTCAGACAATATCATGACATCATATGATTTTGATAAAGTGCCTGCTTTGATTGCCACTCATCCAGCCCACAATGAACAGAGCATATTTTATGGGCCTTTTGAAGGTTAGCTTGTCTTTGGTTGTCATATTTCTTCTTTGAAAGCAGTAGTTTTAAATTTTTTTAATCTTCCGAAAGCTTATGGCATTTTGATATATTGTGCTTTTAAGATTTCTTGTGGTTTATACTTTATAGCACATTCTGTTGTTGTTTAAACTATTGTAGGTAGGCTTAAAGGCTCTGATTGAAACTTAATGTTAAAATGCATGATGACCAAATCCTGATTTTCTCATATAAAAGTGCCGTCTTTTTTAAACATTGGAAAGTTATTGACAATAAGCTAGAAGTACTGCTTGGAAATTATGACATTGAGAGAATTGTGAATGCCTTTTTATTGCTAACATCCATTTGGATATTTTTGGATTCTGAACCATTGAAAAGAAATAGATTAACTTAATATATCAGCTTTCTCATTTTGATTGATGTATAGAATGGGGAGGAAAAATTCAAATGAAAGATCGGGGATAAATGTCCATGTGTAATAGTTCTGTATTTGCCAGCAAACAGCACAAAAATAGATGAATATCACCCCGTCCCAACTCCCAGGCTCTCCTTCGATCCCCTGCTTGTCTGTTGAAGAGCCATTAAGTTTACTTCGTCTTGAAAGGGTGAGGAGCAGTGTTTTGAGGGTGAACATGTGAATGTAAAGGCTTTGATGAATCTATCATGAAGAGGAGTCGCCTCAAAGATACCTGCTAATGTTTTGTTTTATTTTGAATGGCAGATAAGTTCCTTGAAGATTACATAAAACAAAGCTTGTTACCTCTGGTATTACCCATAAATGAAGATTCATTGAGGTCGCTGAAAGATGATAAGAGGAAGATTGTTCTAACGATAATGGAGGATGAAACAGATGAGAAGTCCAATAACTTAATAAAGGTCTTAAAGTCAGCTGCATCTGCTAATCGCGACTTAATATTCGGTTATGTTGGGGTCAAGCAGTTTGAAGATTTTGCAGAGTCATTTGAAGTGTATAAGAAAACTCAGCTGCCAAAAATGATTGTTTGGGATGGAAATGAGGAGTACTATACGGTAAGTGAGCGGTACTCTATTCTCGAATGATATATTTCCATAACTGATTTCTTTCTTTTTTCAAAAAAAAAAGTTCTGTGGGGATGTCTTAATCATGGCTTTCTTAATTTATGAACGTGATGAATGGAATGCAATAAATCTTTTGGGCTGGTTTTATCTTTACTCCCATTTGGTTATGTCACTGACAAGAATCACCATTAAATTTCACGCATGCTGTTCATTTTATGCTTGCGTGTTTTTTCAACAAAAGCTCTTATCCATAAATGAATCGAGTTTTGGAAAAGTAATAAGCTTTATTGTATTTAATCACACACTGTGGACTACCGACCAATCTAAGGACATCCATATCAATGTTCATCTTGACTTGTGCATTGTGCATCTATATTTCCTTCTTTTGATGAGAACTTGAGACAGCTTGGTGCATTACACAATAACTAACATGTATGATTAATTGATTAACTCATTATTCCTTTGAATTACTTAGAATGTGATTTTTTTGCAGCTAAACTTGGCTTATAATTGATATAAATTATATTCTATTGCTGATTTAGATGTTTGAACTTTTAAAATCAACTTAGGTATTACAACTTTTATCTTGTACACATACTATTAGGCCTGCGAAATTGTTAACTTGGCTCTCACGTTGCATTTATATTTTCAATAGGTTATTGGTTCAGAAAGCATTGAAGAATCAGATCCAGGCACCCAAATCTCGAAATTTCTTGAAGGCTATAGAGAAGGAAGTGTAATACAAAAGCGTATTAGGGGTCCAACCTTGATGGGTTTTATTAACTCTCAATTGGGAGGCAAATATTTTTTCATTAGTATATTAGTGTTGCTGGTAATAATAATGATGATCCTTACAATGGGTAGAGAAGAACCTTTAACGGTTGGTACCCATGATCAGATAGATCATTCGAGGAACGCCCCCTCCCAGTCAGAAGCTAGAGAGCCACGTCGAGCTGCTGCCAAGGAGGACAAGGAGGATTGATTTTCTTCTTTACTGAATCATCATTGGACGAATTATGCATGTTTTTGATTGATTATACACATGACGTGTATTTGTATTTATGGGTATTTCTGCTTTTTGGTTTTCGAAAATGTTAAGTTGAACTATTTATTGAATTTTTTCAGGATGAAAATTAGACATTTCATTTCAGATTGTACAGGTTTTTTTTTTTTTTTTTTTAAATCAGACATAAGGCGTATTACTGTTAGAAACCGATTACATTGTCGTCTATTTATTTGTCATGAATATTGGAGTTAGAACTCCGGTTGATGAAATTTAAATGGCGAATTCAATTTGTTAGAGACTAACTTGTTTGCCAGCTTGAAATGTTGAATTAATTTGGACTAGTTACATTTTCTTCATGGCCTCTAAGATAAATAATGTTTTCAAAATGTTAAAACTTGTAGCTACTGGGATAAAATATTTGTAAAAGAATTATTGTATCTTGAATCCAATTTAGGTCAAATTTTTTACATAAAAGTTCAATTTTAAAGCGTTCTAAAATATGCACTATTCAAAAAAGAAAAGAAGTGCACATAAGAGTGAAATATTGTGGTTGAAAAATTAATAAAAGTGAATTATATAAAATCTGTGATTAAAATTAATTATTAAATTCATTTAAATTATAATTAATTTTTTTAACCGACCCAAACAAAGACTAAGGGTGTGTTTGTCTCCCATTATTGGGAGAAAAATAGAGTAATGAACAGTATTTTTTAGAAAATATGTGGTTGGAATTTAGTGCTTGTTTGGTAGGGATTTTGGGGGAAGAATTGATTTTGAATAGTGATATGATGGGAAATGTGTCGTTGAAAAAGAAGAAAAAAATTATTGATGTGATGAAAAATATTATTTTATTGAAAAATGTGTGGTTGAAAATGAGAATAATCAATTTTCAAAATCAGAAACAAACATTCCCTAAAAGTAATTTTATTGATTTGTGTGTAGAATATTTTATTGGGTGAATATGTGGTGAAAAATTTTACTGTAGCAAATAATTTTTTGAAATAATGGTAAACAAACGGGCGGGCAAGAGAAGTGGTCTAAATTAAGACAAAATAAGTCGCTAAATCATGCGTTTAATTGAATTGAAAGTTGGGCCCAATTGCGACTACAGACCAGCGAAAACCCTTTCTGCAACAAATTGAAGTTCATTTCCGTTTCCAGTTCGCAGCCATGCCTACTGTTAGCGTCGGCAGAGATCGCCTCTTCCAAGCAATAGGCCGCGAGTACAGTAAGAATCTTTCTCGTCTGTTCTCTCTCATATATGTATGTCTATGTCTGTATATATGTCAGATATCTGTCTTTTGTAATTTTTTTGTGCATCTCAGCTCAAGAAGAGTTCGAAGATTTGTGTTTCCAGTTCGGCATTGAGCTTGATGATGTCGTAAGTACTATTGCAGTTTATGTCTCTGTGTGAAATATGTTCGATGATATGTATATTTTAGGGAACGGTGATTTAATTCCGGAACAAGGACGTGGTGATTTATTTAACTTTATTTGCTATGGCACTAGAATGAATCTTTCTGTTAAAAACACAGATTTTGAATCAATTGCCTTTTTAGCTATCGATTTCTCATTGCAATTTAGGTATTATTATGTCAACTGCTATTTATGTCCCTGCACAGAATTTGTGTTGTCTTTTCTTTTTAATATACATATTGGAAAAATATGTGAAATGCAGACGACGGAAAAAGCAATAATCCGGAAAGAGAAGCACTTGGAAGAAGAAAATCCGTCTGAGGATGAGGAATGGATATACAAGATTGAAGTTCCGGCCAACAGGTTCTATCGATAATTATTAGTTACTTAATTGACTATTTACTGTGATTAGAGCAATCAAAAGTTTGGAAAGTGCTCTTTAAGGGTCAGACATAAGGGTGTCTTTTTTTAAAAGATTAAAGTAAACTACTTGAGTTAGAAGTAATTTTTTTGGCTTTAAAATATTGTGGCAGATATGATTTGCTTTGTCTTGAGGGTCTGGCACAAGCCCTCCGCATATTTAATGGGGTTGATCCAATACCTACCTATAGCGTGGCAAACATCAGTAAAGAGTCTATGCACAAAATGCATGTAAAACCAGAGGTATGCATTTTGAGGAAACTTTATTTAGTAAATTATGTATTGATTAATCAATTTATAAAATTATAGGTTTGATCTGATAACAATTTCCTTCCCGACAGACATCAAAGATTCGTCCATACGTTGTGTGTGCTATTTTAAAAGGTGTTTCGTTTGATGAAGTTCGATATAATAGCTTTATTGATCTTCAAGATCGGCTTCATCAGAATATCTGCCGGTAATGCTTTAAGACCTGTGATTCAATTCTGAATTGCACCTTGGATATTTGTTTTTTAGCCCCTGTTTGGCCCCTGTTAAATTAAAATTCATTTTTCTCTCTTCGTATTAACCACACATTCTATGGCTGCACTAAAAAACTGCGAAACCGCAAATCGAATCGAAATTGTTAATTTGAAACTGTTGATTCGGGTCCACGTGGACCCGCGATCTATTTTCTCTCAAACCAAACCAAACCAAACCAAACCGCTTCAAAATGGTTTGGTTTAGGTTTAATTAAAAAAATAATTTCATTAACTTACAAGGCTTAAAGTTTTCACTTTTTAGAAAAAAATATCAATTTAACAATACAAATTAAAAAGTTAATTTTATTAACTTACAAGTTTAAAGTTTTCACTTTTAAAAAAAATATCAATTTAGCAATATAAATTACAACAAACCCATTGAAATAATCATATAAAGTAAATTAAGTTTATCATTGTTGACAGATGATTTTATAAATCCACAACACATGTCCTTACCCATTAACTAATTTAAAGTAAAATTAATCACAAATCATAGGAAAAAAAGAAAGCATTTATTTTCAACAATCCAAATCATAATTCAACAAAATTACGACAGCAAATCACGTCCACAACTTCAGAAGCCCTAACCTAAACTCTCATTTATCAAACATTTGATACTTGACTACCATTGCTGAACAAATTACGATTCTCAATCGCAAATTGCTAGTCGCATTTTGTTTGTTAGACTGCTAATTTCTACCCGAATCACCTCTGTCTTTTTTCTATCTTGATAAGTCTTAAATTCTCATTCAAGTCATTTCTTCATTGTTCTTTCGTTTATTTATTGTTTTTAAACTTATTATATACTTGTGAGTTGTGATTTGAATAAAAAAAATGATTGTTTGTGCGCCTAGGTGATTAATGATTTTGTTTGTGGTTTAGAAAGAATGAAGAATAGAGCGTATTGATTGACTGAAAATGTTAAAGTTTCCTAACTAGTACTACTACATTCTACTTTATTAAAGTTGTAAGAGAATAAAATTTGTCAATTTTCAATAAATCTGAACTCTATCATTCTTTGTATATTTAAGCATATCATGTTCACATCTTATTTTTCATCTCATTGGTAGTACGAAAGGAGTTTTAACCAAACTATAACAGCAGACTGTGATTTTATCTTTAACAACCGTTATATGACAATATGAAAGAAGGCAAACAAGAAAAGGTAAATAAAAATGAAAAAAATATATTCGTTCTATTAACATCTTCTAGGAACCGACTTTTTAAATAATTTATTCATGGGTTTCGTGGGAAAGATGAATGTATCACCTTGGATATTTGTTTTTTAGCCTCTGTTTGGCCCTGTTAACTTAAAATTTATTTTTCTCTCTTCTTATTAACCACACATTCTATGGCTGCACTAAAAAACTGCGAAACCGCAAATCGAATCGAAATTGTTAATTTGAAACTGTTGATTCAGGTCCACGTGGACCCGCGATCTATTTTATCTCAAACCAAACCGCTTCAAAATGGTTTGGTTTAGGTTTAGGTTTAATTAAAAAAATAATTTCATTAACTTACAAGGTTTAAAGTTTTCACTTTTTAGAAAAAAATATCAATTTAACAATACAAATTGAAAAGTTAATTTTATTAACTTACAAGTCCACAACACATGTCCTTACCCATTATCTAACGTAAAGTAAAATTAATCACAAATCATAGGAAAAAAGAAAGCATATATTTTCAACAATCCAAATCATAATTCAACAAAACTACGACAGCAAATCACGTCCACAACTTCAGAAGCCCTAACCTAAACTCTCATTTATCAAACATTTGATACTTGACTACTATTACTGAACAAAATACGATTCTCAATCGCAAATTGCTAGTCGCATTTTGTTTGTTAGACTGCTAATTTCTACCCGAATCACCTCTGTCTCTTTTCTTCTTGATAAGTCTTAAATTCTCATTCAAGTCATTTCTTCATTGTTCTTTCGTTTAGTTATTGTTTTTAAACTTATTATATACTTGTGAGTTGTGATTTGAATAAAAAAAAATGATTGTTTGTGAGCCTAGGTGATTAATGATTTTGTTTGTGGTTTAGAAAGAACGAAGAATAGAGCGTATTGATTGACTGAAAATGTTAAAGTTTCCTAACTAGTACTACTACATTCTACTTTATTAAAGTCGTTAGAGAATAAAATTTGTCAATTTTCAATAAACTTGAACTCTATCATTCTTTGTATATTTAAGCATATCATGTTCACTTCTTATTTTTCATCTCATTGGTAGTACGAAAGGAGTTTTAACCAAACTATAACAGCAGATTGTGATTCTATCTTTAACAACCGTTATATGACAATATGAAAGAAGGCAAACAAGAAAAGGTAAATAAAAAGGAAAAAAATATATTCATTCTATTAACATCTTCTAGGAACCGACTTTTTAAATAATTTATTCATGGGTTTCGTGGGAAAGATGAATGTAATTTAACATTTAACATTATTAGTTGTCGTTTAAACTTATATGTTAATTTATTTTAAATATATTATTATAATGTCGATAGGTAAATCGCGGATTAAAATCGAACCAACCCGCAAATTATGGTTTGGTTTGGTTTGAAAAATATAATGGTTTGGTTTGATTTGAAAAAATTCCAAATTGCATAAAATGGTTTGAGTTGAAAATATGGCACAAACCGCCCAAGCCAAACCTCGTTCACCCCTAGCACATTCTCCAATAAAATAATATTACACGTAAATCTAAAAACTTTTACTTTTTTTTTAACCACACATTCTCCAAAAAATTACTATTCCTCTTATGATAATGTGGAATAATGGAGAGCCCAAATAGGGGCTTAGCAAAGGATCATATGATCATACTTGACAACAGATGTGGTTAAAGAAATTACACCAAGTGATTGCTGTATTCTGAACATATTTTGTTTCTCCATTAAATTACCGAATGTTCCTTTACTTTGTAAACCCAAAAACACTATTTAATGAAACATTATAATAGTATATGATCTAACTTATATACAAGTGCTGGATTCAAATCACCACCATCCATTATGTCGAGAAACATTTCTTGTTCTCTTCACTTGATTATATCTTTTGTTGTGCTTTTAAAGTATTGAAGTTTAAGCAGCATAAATATAACTTATATTCTCCAATTGTAACTTATATTGTAATGTAAATTTTTTGTTATCACTGCAGTAGAAACCAGTATTTTACTTTTCTGACACTCTCTTTAACCGTGCACCTTTTGTTTTTCACCTTTTGATTTCTTTAATCTTCTTCTGTCTTGTAGGCGAAGAACCCTGGTAGCTATTGGCACGCATGACCTGGATACGTTAGAAGGCCCTTTCACATACGAGGTACTAGATCATACCTGTTTCCTTAAGATAGTCTTCGAACATGACCTACCATGATATTTTTATATGATAAGGTGCATTGTCCTGATCTGTCCTTTGGTTTAAAATTGTGCTAGATTGTAGATATACCTTGTTTGATTTCTAGTTGAGAACATGTTCTACTGTTGTTTGGATTTTCATTCCAAATATCCTTAAGAAGTCGGTTCAAACAGACTATTTGTATTTTTTTTGCCATTGCTGCTCTTACTGGTTCTTATTTTGTTACTTGCGTGTGATGTATTTTCTTAATTAAAAACAGTGATTTATTGTGTCTGTTCAAAATTTCAGGCTTTGACACCTTCAGAAATAAACTTTGTTCCGCTGAAGCAGGTAATCATATATGTTTTTAATTTTGATATGTGATTGCCTCATCGCTGTTTTTGAATTAGCTGTATTTTTTAATGACTCCAACAATGTTAGTGAAGTAATAGATGAAAAAGTTAGGTAGTTTATGAGAATGGGGCATTGTTTCTCCCCTTTGCTGCCCCATCTCTGGAAAGCACGTAGTTTCTGTTAGCACTGTTAACATTAATAATACTAGTTGGAAACTGGGTGGTGGGACTCACATCAATATACTTTCTAATATGTTTAGGGTGTATTATAGATGCACCAAAAATATATTTAGTAACCTTAATTGTTCAAGTTACATTCACTTAGTATCTGGCATACATATGCTTTTTTTCACTTTCAGTTTTTTGTTATTTTTATGCTGTTACTTTTTTGCATATTGCTTCTTGTCACAAGTTAATTTTTTTTAAAGTTGATTAACAATGTACGATTCTGACTCTTTTCTTACTCCACCATTTTAGACAAAGAGCTTCAGAGCTGATGAGCTTATGGAATTTTACAAAGTGAGTTTTCTTAGTTATGCTTCCCACATGAATTTCTATGAAGTTCCTTTCTTGCATGTGTGGTGCTTGGTACTTAACAACTTCTATGTTGATGACCCTTTGCCTCCTGCATGCATGATTCCTACGTTCATTAGGTGGTACTATGGCTTGTAATTACATGATACTTTGGTACATTTGCAGTCGGATCTGAAACTGAAGAAATTCTTGCATATAATTGAGGATTCACCGGTATACCCAGTCATATATGACCGTAACAGGTAATTTGAGTACTGTAAAGGGCCTAAATTTTCGTGACATACTCTTGTTTACGCTGTTGTGTCCTCTTTGGTCTTTTTATGAGTCCTATAATTTGATGTCACCATTACTTTTTATGTTTATTTCAATTTTATTGTCACCATTATAGTGTGACCCTTTTCTTTTTCCAAAATACATCAAGCTTATATTATTATAAAGGCGATCTATTTTATACGTATGATTATTGCATTATAACTATACTGAATATCAGGAACAATCAATGAAAATTTCATTGATCTGATAAAGTCCCTTGCTCTTTCTGCAGAACTGTTTTGTCTTTGCCTCCAATTATTAATGGTGCTCATTCTGCCATTACATTGAAGACAAACAATGTTTTCATTGAATGCACTGCAACGGATTTGACAAAAGCCAAAATTGTATTGAACACAATGGTATAAAAAGAATTTGATTCAGTGCACTATTTTTTTCTACTTTTTCTATTAAAGTTTGCATGACCATTAACAGTGTTGCAGGTAACCATGTTTTCAGTGTACTGTGAAAGGAAATTTGAGGTTGAGCCAGTAGAAGTAACATATGCTGATGGAAAATCTTTCATATACCCGGATCTATCACTTTACCAAATGGTTGTGCCTTTATCATACATTTCCAGTATGGTTGGAGTCTCTTTGCCAGCAAACACGGTACCATAACTTTGTGATACTTGTCTAAACTTGATATTTGCAGTTACATTGTTTTACATTGCTTGGGTGTCCATTTTCCTCCTCTTTGGACTTTGACGAGTGACAACTGCATGGCTTTTGAAGTTGATCCTTCATTTTCTCCCTTCTATTTATGTGATTTCAAAGTCCAAGGCTTATCACTACTTAATTTTATACTTTCCAAAATATCCAAAGATAAAAGGTAGAATAAAACATGTACACTAGAAATTGCACAAAAATGTTCTCACTCAGCTTGTTACTTTGCCTTCTGCCCCTTTTCGCTAATTACTCTCTCTAAGATTTATGTGTGAACAGTAAAATTGAAATAAAATTTGTTCTCAATTTTCCTGAACTGAGATGAAGGTTACCTGATTCGGTTGTTTCGGTTTTTGGGTGTGTTTGCTTCAAAATTAAATGGTTTATGATTTTGACCAGTGTGAGCACTAAAAATGTATATTTAGAATATAAATCTAGAAGGTGATTTTCTTTGCTTTCATCGTGGACTTAGTTTCTGGTGGGATGGATGAATGTCTAAGTATCTATGTGCTTGTGCGGTTGTCGCATAATCAATTGTTTGTGCTGAATAAATAAGTTGCATTACTGTATGGATTTTGTCTGTAACTTTCCCTTTAAAAGCCCCAACAAAATGAAATATTTTAAACTAGTATGCAAGAATAAGTTGCATTACTGTATGGACTACGTCTTTAACTTCCCCTTTAAAAGGCACAACAAAATGGAATATTTTAAACTAGCATGCAAGAATCACATTTCAGGTGGCCAGCTTGTTGAACAAAATGCAATTACATGCTGAACACTCTGTATCTGACGACAAGCAAACAAGTTTTATTGTTTCTGTTCCTCCCACAAGAAGTGATATTCTCCATCCATGTGATGTGGCTGAGGTATCGGTCCTAAAGTATTTATCTCATGAAGATCATCTTGCCTTGCCTGTTGTACTGACATGGAATATTATCTCTTTATTCAAGGATGTTGCAATTGCTTTTGGTTACAATGAAATTCCCAAGGCAAAACTAGCATCTCTGAAACCACAATCTTTGAATCAGCTCTGCGAGCTTATTCGAATGGAGGTAAGAGTTTGTGCTTTTTATATGGAGTTCAATTGCTTCCTTTTTTCTTTTGCTCGAACAATTGTGATCTTTTCACCTAGTATGTACTTTCTTCTTCTTCTTGTTTTTTTTTTTGGGCTTTTACCACTGATTTAAGTTTGCACCAATATATGCAACTCTTTCAAGTTGCTAAGACACCCCACTAATTCAGTCCTGAAATGTACTGTTGTATAATGTATATCATTAAAATGTATTGTTTCCTTTCCTTGATATTAAAAATTTCTACTTTTCCTAGATAAGTTTCCTATATGATTACCAAAGTTTGTTCTTTTTTGCCTTATCTTTCAAGGATTCAGTTTGACCATAAATTGTGAACTTTTAATTTATTTGATAGTTCAAATCTATAGCTGTATCATTTTATGCTTTTCTAATTCATGTGTTTCGCTCTTTTTTGAACTTAAAACATTATTGAAGTCCAAAGTACATGGTTGTAGCAACCCTCCTCTCTTCTTCTCTCAATATGGAGAACAGGAATTATGTTTTGTCACAGTACCCTATCATTCTTCTATATATGCAAAACGTAAACAGTATATTCTTCCTTACTCCAAGTTATGACGCCAAAGCTTGCAGTGAGTAGTTACTGTTGCTGCAAATCTGCCAGTAATTTTCATAATTGCTACTTTTTTGTTCTTGTTCTCCTTGACTCCCTTTGTGAAAGAGAGACTGAAGTAAGCTTTAACTATTTGATTATTATTATTATTATTATTCACTTGAAGTCTTCTTCTTTTGGCCTAAAATGTTTTTTATTACCCCGTTTAGATTGCGATGGTTGGTTACTCAGAGGTGTTGACCTGGATTTTATGCTCTTATAAAGAAAATTTCACCATGCTCAACCGTAAAGACGACAAGGCAACAGCAGCAATCAATGGAAATCCACGTTCTGCTGATTTTGAAGTTCGTTTTATCTTCATTATTTCTGTACTCCTGAAATCGTGTTGTGATAGCTATTTCTTCCTTAATTGTTTGGCATTGTAGTTTGATTTGACTTGTAATTTGTAAATAACTTGGTTTCTCTTATACTTCTTTTAATCTTATTCTATATATCATTATTTACCTCGCTATTTAGATATATTAGAACCTTGAATTGATTGTCAGTTGTTGAAAAGAATTGAGTGTTCTGTTTTTTTTCTAATGTTTCTAAAATTCTAACTAAACTAAGAATTTTTTCAGTCATGTATTTATTTGCCTTTGGTGGTTATGAGTTTCAGAATAATATTTTAATTTAGTCTTATAACTCAGATATTCCCTGCAGATTCCTGTGTAGCCTTTCTTCAGAATCTTTGATAATTTTAAATGAGTATGGTTGAGCAAAAAGACCTGGGAGATAGATACAGCATTTTGTTAATGTACTGTAGTATTTTCCATTTCAGTGACCTGGCAATGTTTGTAGTGGGTACAGCGATTTGTTGTGAAGTAGTAGGGTTAAATAATTCATACCTCGTGATGGTTGCATTTTCACACTTGTCTTTAAAAGGGTAATGAGATGTGTTTATATTAGAAATGCATTTCAGTTCTAGCCATTGTGTTTTGCCTCTACACTCCATTTTTAGGTTTATGGTTTTATCCTCTCTGGTCTCTCACCAAACTTTTGTTAGTTACAGCCTACAAGCTTGTATGGCAGTAGAATATTGTTTAGTCTTAAGTATATAGGTTTGTGGAAGTTTATCTTTTGCAGTGCAAAAACCTCAGGAACATTTCGATAATGATTATTCCATTGTTGGAGTGAAATGTCTATTTTCAAGCAAGATTGCTGGATTCTTAAATCACCCTTTTATGTGCATCTACGATCTTTATTTGTCTTGGTTGTCTTAAAATGAAAATTTAGGTGCAGTTTTTACCTTGCATTCCCAGCTCGTGTTTGTCTTTCAGAAGAATTGTGAATGTTCTTGGCAGTCAGTCGAATATGGAATATGAACTCTCTCTCTCTCTCTCTCTCTCTCTCTCTCTCTCTCTCTCTTGGAAACATTACATCCCAATTTATTCTATCTGTGAATTTTTGCAGGTTGTCCGTACCAGTCTTATGCCTGGCATATTGAAAACCATTGGGCATAATAAAGACCACCCAAAACCAATAAAGGTGGTTAGAATAATTATTATGATCCACCTTGTATTTATGTTTTGCAGACTTGTTTGCCTCATTATTAAAGAATTTTACGATCCACCATTCTATCTGCGTGAAATAAGCATAGCATGAAAAGAAAAGTTGTTCTTGTTGTGGTCATACCAAACCTAGATATGTGGAACTGCATGTTCTTGTTAGTAAGAGCCTCGCGACATTGAAATTTTTGAAGGGTTTACAATGATTGGCTGTGTTCCATATATTGTTCACTTTGATCTGTTTGTTGATTTGATCAAAAGAGTGTTTTTTAAACTAAATGATTGATGTTGAAGAAACATCTGTCTAGTGCAATTCTCATGTATTTAGACAGAGTTAGCACTGTTATCTGTAAGTACTATAATTTATATAAGTTACTTGTGGGGTAGTTTATGTCAAAGGCTGTGGCTATCCTGAATTTCAGATAGTCAGTTAGCCACTCTGTTGATACCTGTGGATGGCATTTTTCTTCGTGTATAAGAGGCGATAGCTGTTCATTTTTGTGTGTTGGACTTTCAGTCTTGTGGTGTGACTGGCATGTTTCCTGTGCCAGGTTCTACATTGCATTCATTATATTTTGGTGATTTATATATCCATCTGATATCCTCTAATATGCAGATTTTTGAAGTGGGTGATGTGGTGCTACTAGATGACACAAAAGATGTTGGTGCATCGAATCGCCGTCATCTTGCGTCTTTGTATTGTGGAGCTACTTCAGGATTCGAGGTACCTTTTGATTTCAACACTATTTATCCTGACCTCTCGTTGACTGGTGAGATACTCGCCTTGGGGATCTGGAGGGTTCTTATGGATAAAATCTTATTCAGCTCCAGTATTTGTTGATCTTCCTACAATCTGATCAAGAGGATGGCTTGATTCTGCTAGCTGTATACAATTCTGAAATGGATTACTCAATTAAGTTCGCTAATATTTGCACTCTGAAACATTGGGCAATTCAGTATTCAGTGTTCCACTTTGTTTAAGAAACCATGTCATTATGCTTGTGCACTTTCTCTTACTCATTTTATCTAATTGTTGTATGATTTGCTAAGTTTCTTCTCTGTTTCCCTTTTCAGCTTATACATGGTCTTGTGGATAGAATCATGGAAGTGGTGGGAACTTCATTCGTATCACCTGGGGATGAAACTGGATACTACATACAAAGTTCAGATGTATGTTAACTGTGTTCACTCTGTTGAATTTGCTATGGATTGTTTGACAGATTACATACTGACTACTATTAATTTATATTGCAGGAGCCTGAGTTTCTTCCAGGCCGACAAGCTAGCATCATTTACAAAGGGAAGCAAATAGGCACTTTTGGCATTGTGCACCCACAGGTATATCAATATTTTTTGTCGTTTAATATGTTGGAAGAACTAAAGGTACCTCTCAGTTTTGCAGTAAAATCTGACATTTATATTTTCTGTTATTCTTACTAGTGTTTTACCGATAATTGGAAAAAATGAGTACAATTATTTCTGATATAGTCTTCTGCTTTTTCTTTGTGCCATGGTTTCGTCTAGTATTTCAATGTGTTCGTGTTGATGATGACAGGTGTTAGATAACTTCGATATTCCAGACCCATGCTCCTACGTGGAAATCAACATTGAGAACTTCTTGTAGAGCGACAAATTCGTATTTTTACAACGAGAGAACATAGTTTGGTTTTGTTATTGCGACCATTCACAGATATTTATTACATAATTTATCGACTTATTTGTCAAACTTCCATTTCATGATTTGTATGATAATACCTCCTTTCGTTTGAGAATGCCATCTCATAATTCATGTTACTTGACCTCTCTTAATTCTTCTCTCCCTTCAGTGTAATGAAAATGTCGTAATGCACAAAAATTAAACAATTAGGGGCTATTCTCTTTGTGTTTCAATTTTGTATTTTGAGTTTTGAATTCATTTTGTGTTTTGAGGGTCAATTTTGATATTGTTGAAAATGTGTTTTTTTGGCATTTTGAAAACATCCAGTGCATTTTGAAAATTTTGACTTGATTATAACTGAAGATACTCAAACGACAAATTGTTGTTTTGGGTTTTTTTTTGGTAAATTTTTAACTTGAACTCGGTTTTCGAAAATGGAGAAGAGTGTTTTTACTGTTTTGAAAAATCGAATATAGAAAACGATTTGAAAATGGTAAAGAGGACATGCTTTTAATATTTAGAAAACTGCCAGCCATCAGAAAATAACAAATGAGCAGAACGTTTGAGGTGAGAATTATTATTATGTAATAAAATTTTACAGATGTACAGACGCAGAAGGATGGAACAAAAAATTCCGACATCTCAGAGAAGTTTCGAAAGTACATGAAGGACAAATCGATGAAACAAAGATGAAGAAAGAAGAAACTAAACAGAAAATGGTAAATAAAGAAGTGTTAATTTCTCTCTTTCACGGGTGTGAAATGATGTAAACTCAAAACTGTTAGGCCTTGTTTGGTTGTTCTTTCTTTTTCATGGAAATTAAAATTTTTTTTCACATTTTTGCACATTTGATTGACTAAGTTTTTCATGTAACTAATTTTCCATATTTTCTTGGTTTTTAAGGAGAAGATTTTCCCATGGATTTGGTGGAAAAAAATTTTTAGGTAATTTTTTTTTTGTGGCAATTGAAACAAATTTTATCTATAATTGTAACGAATTATATCTCTTTAATGGACAATTTCAATGGAAAACAAAGCTAAACGAATATCAAAAGATCCAAAGTTTTAATATTTTCCACAATGGACAATTTCAATGGAAAACAAAGTCAAACGAATATCAAAAGATTCAAAATTTTAATATTTTCCACGTGAAAAATTATATCAATCAAACACAATTAATTGATAATTCTCAATAAAACAAGTTCTTAGCAATTCAATTCTTTGTAATTCATTTTCTTTCCACCTAAATTTTATTCTTATAATCAAACGGACCCTTAATGACTGATGCTGACAGGAAAGCATCCTCGCCACTGATTGCCGTCCAATTAACAATACATCATTAAAAGGTGGACCTTTGTGGCTGAATCTGTTACTGTAGCAGTTCAGCATTTCACCACATGATCTCTGGGAAGAAACCAATTGCCATGGAATATGTAGCTTTTACTCGTTAAATCATATTGCTGTATCTTGCACCTTGAATGAGTTGTACCAACCTGAGGGAAGTTCAGAAAATGAAAAACGTCAGGCAGTCACACAACTGTTGACTAAATATTATTATGAACACCACCTAAATTCGAATCCAGAATGCGCGCGCGCGTGTGTGTGTGAGATGAGTAGCAAAAAAGATCACTTGAACTCAACAACCATCCCTAATCGAAGTGTCGGTTTACCTTCAAGAACGAATCCACAAGGGTCCCAACGAGAACGACTTCTCATTTCGAGTTTGGGCCCCAAGAGAAAGGGCATGCACGGTAATTGGAAGTATCCACTCACAATTGTCTCTTCCCTCAATCATAAGAGGATGCTCATAGCTGACATTAAATCCAGCAATTATATGTTCAGGAAAAATCACATGGGAAAAAAAGAGGGGGTTGGGGGGGGGGGGGGGNGTGTGTGTGTGTGGGGGGGGGGGGGGGGGGGGGGGGGGGGGGATTATGCAACAATAACATATCAAGTTTTAAAGTAAATACAAGACAATATCCCCATCATGAAAAATAAGGTGCTTCCATCAATGAGTTAATTAGATGTAATAGCACTTTATCCAACTTAAAGGCTACTAACAAGGACCTTTTGTGAAGTTGTCTTCATTTTGGTGTGATCTATTTTGTCTATTTTTTATTCTATTTCAATGTTTACACTAACATCTTAGAAACAGGAATTCATGTTTACTTAACTGCAAGTAGGAAGATCTAGTTCAGGTGCTGGTAACCAGCTTACACACCCGGCAAACTTTATGCCTTAAAGCTGATTTCAAGATCTAGTGATTGACTCTTTTGATGATTTCATGATCTGGTAACTGGCAGTTTTGTAGCCATCAAGTAAAATTAAAGAAAATGTGAAACATATCTGACTTGCAATATCAAACTTGTTGCACTGCATCAAACTACGGAATTCTGCCATCCAACAATGATTATAATAGTACCTTGACCAGTCCACATTCCTTGGAGTTGTAAGAAATTCAAAACGAAGAGCCCATTGCACAGAGACATAGCGGGTAGAAAAAGTCATTGGTCCATCCATAGGAATGGAAAAGAGAAAGTTAGTCTTTACTAAATCTGCAACCACCTCATGGTGATCACTATGAACCTGCACAAATCAGGTGTAAAAAATCAGTGTTTTCCTGTTTACCTCTTCACACTAAATTATATTATTTATGGTCGATTGATCGGGCCTTTTGAACATAGCCTTTTGCAACAAGCCTAGGTTTGTATCTTTCTAAAGTCCCACTAGCCATGTATTTCAAGGTAAACACCCATTTACAGTCCCCTAGTTCTTTTCCTCTTGGCGAATTCACAATTTCTCTTGTTTTATTTCTCTAGTGCATTCATTTCTTCTCTCATAGCTTGTGCCCACTTCTTATCCCAAATCGTCTCTGGTAGTGTCTTAGGAATGCCATTAGAATTTAGGGTGGTAAGGAAGGTCCTATGTTGTTCAGATGATCTGTGAAAGGATACAAAATGAGATATAGGGTGTCATGTGCATTTTCTAGTTCCTTCTCTGACAGCAATATGCAAATCTAAATCGGGAAAATCACGTGCTCATTTGTGTCTTAGACAGATCGAATTACTAGTTTGAACTTTATGGGTATTTGATACCATGAAGAAAAACTGTTTTCAAATGCTGTACATGGTTGTAATTTATACACAAAAAAAAAAAAAAATGGGTTCGTGAAGATGATTTCTGAAGTGGGTGTTGAGCCGTTTGATCAATCTTCTTGTCAGGTATCTTCATCAGCTTCTCGCCATCATGGATTTAGTGCTGCTACATTGTTGCTGAAGACTAGGGTTTGATAATTTTCCACAATGCAATATGCCATTTTTTATAGCCATTTGCATCTTTTTCAAAATCTAGGTTGAGTTTTATTTTATTTTGTAAATCCTGGAGGTTATCAAGAAGTTTAATTAATTAATTTTACTTCTTTTTAGGGTTTTTAGATTCCCTTTTTAGAAGTTATGTTTTGTTTCAAAACAGAACATCAGTGAATTTGTTCTAGGGACGATGAATGTTTATTCTCATTTTAATAAAAAAGAAAATATGTTTAGAAATTTACCTTTTTTCATGCTACATTATTGAATATTGATTTGAGTGGTTATAGATTTTTAATTTGCTGTTCCTGTATTTGTAATTTAAATCCACTAATTAAGTTTATTGTTTCTTAATTTGTGAGTAATTTCTTTAATTCTAGGAAGTTGATTTTTAATTTTAGTGATTGAATTGTAACAGTTTGAAATTGTTAAGAAAAATGAATTAATTTTCATACCTTCTAACTTTTTGTAATTGTGACACTCGTATCTTGATTTACAACTTAGGCGTATATCAGATAATAAAAATAGTTTATTCAAAAATTTCAAAAAAGCTACCGTTTATCCCAGAACAATCAATATATTTTTTTCAAAAAGAATAATGATTTCAACGATCATTTAGAAATTCAAATAGTTTAAAATTTTCTTGAATTCATGAAAACACACATCATGGTGCCCCACCCATCTTCGACACTACTTAAGTGTCACGTGATCATTTAACATTCAAATAAATAATTTCGATTAGGTGAGACATAGTGTAGCAAATTTTAAGGTAAGATTCTTGATCGAATTTACCTAGAAACAGTTATTTATCTAATATTGTATGGGCTGTAAAGATGCATCAGATTCAAATATCCATTCAGAGAGAATAGTAACAGAACTCTGAACTACCTAGGTCATATAATTTAGGAAATCTGTTTCTTGTTGACACAAAAAAAATTCAAATATCTATTCATAGTTATCTAGGAAATCTGTTTCAGGTGGACATAAATTTGGAAGTTTTTAACCTGACTTTGCCACATGTCTAAACTACCTCTTTTCTTCATCCTATTCCCAATGTTGGTTCTTGACTAGTCTACTCCATCAAATTTTCTTCTTTTTAGGATTTAATAAAGGTATTTATATATTTAATATTTAGTGATGTTGAACTATTTTTTTCTGTATAAAATGTTACAAAAATAAATAAGAATACTTTGTTTTATAAATGTCATTTGTGGAGATAATTCTAAGAAATTCTTACTTTTAATGACAAATCTTTATCTTAGTACTTCGTTATGAACTAAACAATCAAATAATAATTTTATGACAAGTTTTTTTTACAGTTAGATGTAAAATTTCTTGCACCGTCACTGATACTATAATACCAGTTTAGGTGGTGATATGTGATAGACTTAATAAAAGATAGAATTAAATGGAAAGGAGTGAATGTACGGCAGATCATTCGACATTAAGCTGAATTGAATTCGGGTCATTATCTTCATATTACCAAAATTTAATTTGTTTGTAAATTTGATCAATCATCTTAAATTTCGTATAATCAGATTAAGAGCTTGTTTGGGAGTGATTTTTGGGGGAAAAATTGATTCTGAATAGTGATATGATGGGAAATGTATGGTTGAAAAAGAAAAAAAAAATTATTGATGTGATGGAAAATATTATTTTATTA